CAGAGGAGCAGGAAAGCTGACGTTTCGGGCCTAGAACCTTCTTCAGAAGTTCTGAAGGAGGGTCTAGGCCCGAAACGTCAGCCTTCCTGATGCTGCTTGGCCTGCTGTGTTCATCCAGCTCTACACCTCGTTATCTCAGATTTTCCAGTATCTGCAGTTCCTACTATCCCTCACTCATTTACCTTACTCTGTACAACAAAAGTATATGTTTTAACCCAACATGGATCAATGACAGTACATAGCAGTAGTAAACATGGCAATAAAATGCCAATTAAACAAGGAAAGCCAAACCAAATTTAAAAAATTCAAGTGTCCTCCACTGAAGCTGCTTTAAATACCTTATCCTATCCTTTCACTGCAATATCTTGGCTAACTCGTACGACAGGTGCTTAGATTGAAATGTCAACATGGTACAAGTAAGCTAGAAAGGTATTTGTAAAGCTGGAGGACTTCATCTTTTTGGAGATTGTAAAATTTTGAAGTACTATTCCACAAATTTTTACACCGTGAGATTACGTTTACGGCGACATTTAGCAAAAGTAAAATCAAAGCTTTAGAATTCAAAACAACAGGAAGGGAAATGATGGCAGCTCAGTTCGCTGCTACTTCTAATATTTCACTTTCGTACTTTTTGGCTTAAAGTTGACCTACAGACAGAGCAGTTTTAAACGTGAGTTTCTGTCACTCCTATAGGCCTAGACCGTCTAGAACAAGCCTTCAAATCAGCACCTCCACTGAATCCAATTACCTTACTCTTTAAGGCGCACACAATATGTGCAAAAACCAGGACATTTCTTTTCCTTTAGCAACAACAAACAAACCGACATTACTCTCTCCAGTAACCGATAGCCAGTGATGCTAGCTCACCTTCTAAAAGTAGGCTTCTCCTTCCCGCCATTTTTGTTTTCAGTCCTCTGTGGCCTCCGACCGAGCAGTACCGGCAGAGCGCGGACTGCACAACATCAGCTCGGCCATGTCAGTGCGCACAGTCCGGGGGAAGGGGGAGGAGGGAGATACAAGGCCGGAACCAATCAATCCGGAACTTAACAGCCGGGACCGGATCACCCGGGAATCTAGCAGCTTCGGGCCTTGCCTACTCACTGCCTGCAGTCTCGTCTAGTCATTGATGTTGTGTTGCAAATTTACGTACGTGTAAGCGAGTAAAAAATGTAGCACTGTCGATTTTTCCCTCAACGTATGTTTCAGAAGTAGCGTGCATTTCTCTAGATATTTAACATAAAAAACGACTTTGTGTGGTTCATCCAGGGTCTGCAGATTTTCAGTGGTTTGTATTCCTCCAGTGGTTTTACGATTCACTCTCTAACTCAGTCGCTAAGCTGTACTTGTCTAATACATGAGTGATTGTATGCATATTTAAGATATGCGAAGGGTCATGTGATTTTACTTTGTACTTTTTGTGCAGCACTTTATCAAATACCTTCTGGATATCCAGATATCTACGGGACCCCAATTATCATTTTTGCTCGTTACATCTTCAATGAACTCTAGCAAATCAGTCGAACGTGATTTACCATTCATAATATTTGCTAACTCTGATGGATTGTATTTTGACTTTCCAAATGTCTTGTTAATACCTCCTTAAGAACAGATTACAACAATTTCCCAAAGATAGATGTTAATTTAACTGGTCTGTAGTTTCTTATTTTCTTCCTCCATTTTTTGAATAAAGGGCGTTATATTAGCATTTTACTCATCCAGTGGAACCCTTCCAGAACCAGGAAACTTTTGAAACTTATGAATTCATTTGCTAATATCTGCAACCACAGCCTACATCCTAGTGTCTTAAAGAATATCAGGCCCTGAGGACTTGTTTGCTTTTAATCCTAGTAGTTAGATCTGTACTTTTTCCCCCAGTGAGATTGTTTTATGTTCCTTCTTTTCGATAACGTCAGCATTACCTGTTGCTGTGGGGATCGTACTCGTGTCCTAATGACATGAAACACAAGGCAAAACATTACTTTTGGCTCCGATAGTAGGAACTGCTGATGCTGGAGTCTGAGATAACAAGGTGTAGAGCTGGATGAACACAGTAGGCCAGGCAGCATCAGAGGAGTAGGAAAGCTGACGTTTCAGGTCTGGACCCTTCTTCAGATGATGATTTTGGCTTTGTCGTTTGTTTCCTCATTATTAACTCTCCAGTGTCATCCTCTAAGGGTCCAACATTCACTTCAGCTGCTCTTCCTTTTTATATACTTATAGAAGCTTTTGCAATCTGTTTTATATTTTGAGCCAGTTTCTTTTCATAATTTCTTATTATTGTCATCGCTTTTTTTTAAAAAAAAACACTTTGCTGGTCTTTAAAAGTTTCCCAATATTCCAACCTGACACTGATCTTTGCGATATAGCACGTGTAAGTTTTTATTTTTATGCTATTTTTAACATCCTTACTTAGCCATAAATATTTTCCCCTCTTGCAATCTTTCTTCCTCTGGAATATATTTTAGTTGAGAGAAATTGAATGTCTCTGTCTCTTTAAACACCTATCACTATTCATGGACAGTCCTACCTTTTTGTTGTGTGCCAAGTCCACAAAATCTGCCCTCACACCTATTTAATTACCTTTGTTTAACAACTGAATACTGTTGTGTGTCTGAGGTTTCTCATTCTCAAACTAAATTTAAAAATTCCAGCATGCTGTGGTCTCACTTCCCTAGAGGATCCTTTACCACGAGATCATTAATTAATCTCATCTAATTACACAATACTGATTCCAAACTGGCCTGCTCTTTGGTTGGTTCTCCAATATATTGCTCCAAGAAACAAACTCAAATGCACTCTGAAGTCTCCCTTGAGGCTACCCTTGTAATTTGATTAATCCAGTCTATATGCATATTAAAATCACCCATTATTTGTTGTCACACTTTTCTTACAAGCCCTCAATATTGCCTTCTTTATACTTCTGTCCTGCTGTGGACCTACTGTTAGGAGACCTATATTACTCCCACCAGGGATTTCTTTTCCTTGCTATTTATTATTTCTGACTCCACATCCTGATCTCCTGTGCCAAAATTTCTCAGTAGAACACTGATGCCCTCCTTTACTAACCATGCTACACCACCTACTTTCCTTTGTTTTTTTTTGAAACACTGAAACCTTGGATATTCAACTTCTAGATCTGATCTTCCTGTAAACTTCAGTAATCACCACTAAATCATACCTATTTGCATCTATTTGCATTGTACATTAATTAATTTTATTCTGCATGCCTTGCACATTCAGATACAAAGCATTAAAGTTTGCTGTATTATCAATCTTCCCTTCTGTTGCATGATTTCTTGGTCTCTGTCTCTGTCTTTCCTTTTCTGTTAAGGAATCAGCCTCATCACTAACCTGCACTCCTGCATTCTCCTTATGCTTTTAGTTATTTTTAAGTTTTCCATACAACTGACACCTCCCACCTCCACTATTTGGCTCAAAGCCCTATCTACAGTCAGAGTTGTGATTCGCTAGGGCTCTGGTCCTAGCACAATTAAAGTAGAGCCTGTACCAACAGAACAGCACCCTCTTTCCCCAGTCCTGTCGCCAATGTCCCACGAAATCAAATCATTTCTCCCACACCAATCTTTGAGCTTTGCATTTCTTTAGTCTCATTTACTCTGTGCCAATTTACTATCCGAGGTAGAAGTTAGAAGTTATCTGGAGATTACTACCTTTGTGGTTGTGGTTCTGCTTTCTAGCTGCTTGTATCGAGTCAATAGAACCTCTTTCTTGTTTTACCTGTATTGTTGATATCTACATGGGCCATGACAACTGAATCTTTCCCCTCCCAATCCAAGTTCCTCTGCAGTGCAGTTGAAATATCCTTAACCATGGCACCAGATAGCTTTTGGGACTGTTGAATGTGGCTACAAAGAACATTGTCTATTCCCCTAACTATACTATCCCTAATTACAACTATAATTCTTCTTTTTCTCCCCACTTGAATGGATTCCTGCAGCATGATGCTATAGTCAGTTTGATGCTCATCCATCAAACTGACTACAGTTTCTGTTCTTGTCCACATAGGGATCAGAAATCTCAAACCTGTTGGACAAGGACCAGGGCTGAAGCTCTTCAGTTCTACCAGCCTCACTCAGAGTCACATCCCCCTATCCCTGACCACTGGCCAAGTTCAAGGTCTTTTGGTAGATTCACAAGGAACTGTCTGTTTTGTCTGGCAAGGGAATTGGGGCCCAAAAGTGTTAGATTAAAATATTTATAAAAGAACTGGAAGAAAAATGACAAGAATTTTTTCCACACCTGGCCTTGTTAGGATGTTGAATATAGTACCCACCAAGATGCAACACCTCACATTTACAGATATTGAAATTAATCTGCCAGTTACACAGCTCTACACATTTTTGTTTCTTATTTTGTCACAATCCTTCTCAGTATTAAATAAAGCATTTTTTTTGTTACTGCAAACTTTGAATATGAACTTCCAATTTTCCAGTTCTAACTTATAAATCTAAATAGTGAATGAGTGGTTCCAATACAAATCCTTTTCCAGCACTTTGTCTGAATAAGTAATGTTAGCACTCTTTGATAGAGCTTCCAATTTATCCCATCCTTCTGTATTTTACCATTGCCCTGTACTTTATTTTAAATAATGAATTCTGACCCCAATTGGAACTTGTCTTGTAACTCAGAGCCTCCACTCCTTCTCCTTCTCTACCTCTTCCCATTTTCTAGCCTTCATCATCTCTAACCACTTCATTTTGCCCTCTCCCTAACCTGAACCTTTCTCCTTCTGCGTGCTTCTACCTCCCACTTTTCCAACATTTTGCCATCTGAATAAGTAACATTAACCCCTACTCTTTTGTATCTTTTGACAGCTTGCTATCCATTCTGCTATTTGTTATCAGGCTTAATGCAGAGGTTTAATGAGTAAGTTGTAGCACCTCTTATAGGTCAATATACACAGTGGGCCAACTCATAATGAAAGAAATAGAAGCAAGATTAGGATATTTGGCCCCTTCAACTCTTTTGTGCCATCTCTTCATAGCCCTCAACTCTGCGAGATTTAAAAAAAAAAAAATCTACCTACCGCTTGTTTAAGTCTTTTCAATGATCTTGTCTTAACAACTCTCTGGGGTAGAGAATTCCAGATATTCATTACCCTCTTGGAGAGAAAATTCCTTCACATTTTAGCTTAAAATGAGTGACCCCTTATCCTGCAATTATGTGCCCTAGTTCAAGACTCCCATACTAGTGGAAACATCTTCAATATATAAGCTGTCAAATCCCTCAATCTTGAATGTTTCAATTAGATCACCTCTCATTCTTCTAAGCACTAATGGAGTAGAGGCCTAACCTATTTAGCCATTCTTGACAAGTCAACTTCTTCAGCCCAGTGAATCTCTTTTAAACTGTATCCAGTGGCAGTACATATTTTCTAAATACAGTAAGCAGAACTATACGTAGCACTCAAAGCATGGTCTCACTGACATAACAGAGTGTGGAGCTGGAAGAACACAGCAGGCCAGGCAGCGTCAGAGGAGCAGGAAATCTGATGTCTCGGGTCGGGACCCTTCTTCAGACTCCAGCATTGGCAGTTCTTTTTATCTGAGATGATTTCACCGACACCTTGAGCAGTTGTAATACCACTTCCCTATTTTAAATCTCTAACCCCTGTGTAATAAAAACCAAAACCAACTTCCTTCTTAATTTCTTGCTCTACCTCTAGGTTAACCTTTGTGTTTCATGCACGTTTTTGGTGTCTCTCTTCTACTTAAATAATAGTCTATGTTTTGCTATTCCCTACCAGAGTGTATGATTTCATACTTTCCTACATTAAACTTCACCTGGCACTTTTTTGCCCACTTACTCAACATATCTATATCCCTTTACCAGTTTGTATGTCCTTATCACTACATGCCCTTCCATCTGTTTTTATATAGTCAGCAAATTTGGGTGCATTGTTCTCTGTGCATCTCCTCCAAGTCATTAATGTAGAAAATATATAAATTGAGGCCTTAGGGCTGACTGATCTTTGTGGCACTCCACTAGTTACATTTTCCAATCAGAAAGATCTATTAATCCTGACATACTGTCTATGTATTAATCAATCTTCACACCATGCTTACGTATTACCCCAAATACAATGAGCTCATAATTTGTGCAATAATCTTCTATGTCACACTTATCAAATTCCTTCTGGAAATCCAAATACATTATATCTGTCAGTTCACATTTTTCAACTCTGCTTCTTATATGCTCAAACATCTCTGGTAAATTTGTGAAATGCAATTTCCCTTTGACAAAAAAAAAATGTTGATTCTGTTCGATTGTGTTAAGGTTTCTAAACGTCCTGCTATTTCTTCCTTTTGACCTATTTTGACCTTTTTCCAACTTTAGACTTACTGG